GTAGCTGCACAACTGGCAGCTTCCCAAGAAGGGCTCAGCTCGATGTGTGACACTTGAAGTTCTCGCGGTCTTCACTACGTAGATTCTTGCTTCGTGTTGTGACGCCATGTAGTCTGGTAGATATTTATAGATGTTTTGAGGGACGTTTTACCTCCATCCTGAATGATCCTTCCAGAACGCCGCCAGACGCGTACCATGCTACGCGGCATCACGTCCCGTAAGTTTAGTACACTGAAGGATGCGCTGCCCACATCTTCTCCGATAGGTCAGTACACGTCTGCCAGATTACACGGCGTCATATGTTAGTAGAATTCTACGTGTATCAGCTACACATGGAGAGGAAAGACAGCCAGGCATCGTTTAGCGTGCCTTCAGACCGACTGGCTTGATCCTGACAAGGCTTACATATCCAGAGGCTGTGCTTACGTCACGAGCTCATCGTGGTGATCGCTAAGCATGGAAATGGCGATGCAGCCGGAGAGTTTGCTTAGAGCTTGAAATAATGTTAGGTCGAGCCCCTATCCCGACCCGCTCTTTAGGCAAGCTGCCGGCCGCTTCAGGAACGTACCAAATGACCGCGAGGTGTCCACACTGTTATACGTGCAGGGGGGGGGGGTTCTGCAGACGTGATACGTTTCTACCCAGGCTGCAACTCAACTTCCTTGTCATTTCAGATGCTTGTCCGGGATTAAAATCGCTGTGACAAAATTTGATATGTGCGTTAACTTTTAGACATCAACCCGTATATTGGCAGTCTCTTCCAGCAGCGGTGTCCGCGGTGCTTAGCTTGTATAGGCCTCTCCACGGCGTCTGTACTGACAGATGCACATTTGCTGGCGCCGAGCTGTAATGGCATCCCAAACCAGTTTTCTGAATCCAGATTGCCATGGACTACGTCTTTTTGTGATACTTTCTTATGTATCATGTGTAATTTATTTTTAAACATGTTATTACATAGTTTTTGTGTTTAGTGGAAGAGCAGAAAACTTAGGCCTTGATTGGAATTAACTCCTAAAGCGAACTAAACCCTAAGTACCATGTGCCTTCTCTTTAAAAACTTCATATTACTCAGAGAGTGTAAGTCTACTTATGTAGTTCGTATGGTTCCCAGAATAAGCAAGGTCACCATAGTAGCCTCAATATAAGGGCATTCCCAATTTATCCAACGAGAACATTAGAAAGAAAGAGGCTTCTTTACGGAATTGAGCATGTCATTTAGTTCTGAGTGCTGTGAGTAAAGTGGAGTAAAAATTATATTATTAAGGAACAATATATTCAATAATAACTTAAATATAATTCTAGGTATATTCAGAAATAACATTGGAATTAGCAATTGGAACTCTTCATAGTCATCTTCTTTATATTTATTGTTTAGGACCCGAATGTAAGGCAACCCCTCTTTTCTGAGAAGCAGCATTAGAAAAAAAAACTCACCTTACCTTCGGGCTAATACGGTATTTCCATAACTTCTTCAGTCTTCGAAGGGTTAAAAGAATGAAAAAGTTTTATTTGAATTTTATGCAAAGAAAACGTATCCTGAACTGATAGGGATAAGAATGAAAATTTCTCAACTTTTAGTGTAGGACTTGTGACCCGGTGGGCTCGAACCCAATCGTAGACTTTCTGTTCTCTTTGCAGAGGTCTGCTTCCCACGTTCATCCTCATTCCATACTCATTCATCTCGTTCGACTCTGTATGACGTCAGAAGTTGATACAACATCGTAACTGTCCAGATAAGCTTCTATCTGTCTATTTCTCTACAGCCCTTTGTTGGGTCTTGGCCGCTTTTTCAGTTGGCAGGATTACTTGCACGGGGGCTCAGCCCATCGGAAGGCTGCTATCAACACGCAGGGCAGCACAAACACAGACAGACATCATATCTTGAGTGGGATTGGAACCCACGATCCCAACGTTCGAGCGGGTGAAGGCAGTTGATGCCCTAGACCGCGCGATCGGCCACTGTGATGGGCCGTCTATGACATCATTAGCGTGTTATACCTGTGCTGCTCACTGGCGCAACATGGCGAACTGTCCTGCCATAAAGTTAAAGTGCTATTTATTGGCTTCAGATAAGGTTTTATTGTCTTGCTTTGCCGTTTTACGGACGCTACTGCAGTGGCTGATGTACAGTAGCACGACATTGTCAGCTGCTTTGCTACTTGCTGAATCGAAATTAAATTACAACCGTGGTTGCTATGACGGTAGTGGCTTCCGACACTGTTAGCACGAGAACACCCGACACTGGAATTTCTCACGTCGGTGAATACGAGTATGAACATTGTACAGTGATGGTTTGTAGTTGGTAGTTAGAGAGGAAATTATCAACAGATTACACGGCTTCACATCCCAGAGGGCCATATCTTCACTTGAAAGAATGTTTATGTTGTAGATAAGACAAGAATAATTTCAGGAACACTTAAGATATTGTGACGCATAGACCCGTTGCTAGGGAAAGATTCGGTAAACACATTCCCGCGGGAGCCAACGCGCGCAACAATAGGACATCCGTTGCTGAGCAACGGGTCATTAAACACGGCTCCTTAACAATAGAGGCTGTGTTTTCTGTGTTGTCCGTGCATAGTTGTTATAAGGAAGTATTCAGTTGTATAGAGCCGTAGTCGAGCCGATTTTCGAGACTCCAGCCTGGCGGGATATGAGCTTAGAATTGGACTGAGTCGAGTCTTCGGAATTGGCAGTTGCAAAGAAATGGCAAGAGAGGAGTTAGGCTGTGAAAAGAAGGCTTCATGTGTGATTTGAAGTGACAGACAGTTACAAGTCCATTGCCAGGATACCACTAGTGAAGACTGATAATCCTAGTGCGTGTGTAATGGTGACTGTAAAGTGTGTAGGTCAGCAATAGCGCTGTAATGCCTGTAGTCCCGAGTTATGAATATGTATAAGGTGCAATAAATCCGAACCCTGTATGTAGTCGCTAATACACGTGACATACTTTCTTACCCTTGTTATTTGACATGGTTGTGGAACGGATATGATATTTTGAGGAAAGACTATGAAATTAAAGCAGGCCTCTGTCAAAATATATTGACGAGAGAAATATGCTGTTTGGCTTGCTATAAATTAAATTTGTGGGAAATGCAGGGCATTTGTTACGAAGGTCATTGTGATTAGACCTGGAAGGACAAGGGGGTGACGATGGGCTGGGAACATAAAAGGATGCACAACTTAGGTAGGTAAATGCACTGGAAGACTTGGATAAAGTTGCAGGATAATGTTGAAATCGGTTTTATGGATATAGGGCATGGAAGTGTGGAGCGGTTCCATACAGTTTATAGGATCCCATAGAGACACGATTCTTACGTTATTTACTGCAGCTCTTTCAAGGTTTTTTTCTCGAGTCGTTCCATGACGTGGATTAATTTTTGTACAGCTTAATTGTCACAATCCAACATATATCTTTGTCTCGTCTCTTCAGTGCAACCAACTTCTAATTCGATGGGCTGGATCTATAGATCAGATGTCGGAAGATACGTGCATTTGGGGGGGGGCACCGTATTTGAGAGCAGCCACGTGGGAGGAAGAACCATGAATGGGGTGTTAATACTAACACTTTTGTTGAAGGACGTTTCGAGGACGGAACTCGTTTGCATACTCTGGCATACAAATGTTGAGTCACTGTCACAGACTCGTGCTCAGACCGAAAACGGCATTTCAAGGAGAACCTCGTCCGGGGCATGCGGATGCATTTGTCTTTTTAGCCTGATTGAGGTTGGTTGTTTGTCTCTCCATTTCAAGTTGAGTGTAACCGATTTTCACCAAATTTGGTATAGACGTTATGTCATTAGACAAGAAACCAAGCGGACCTAAATAACCAAGAAGTTCTGGGAAGAACTAGTCACATGCTATCCCGTGATTCGACACGGATCGTATGAAAAACAGGTAAATTAGGGGAGATACACAGACAATAAAGTTATCCCATAAGCCATGGGGGGGGTATGCAGACAGGCAAACGCACAGGCAGCAAGGTGATCCTATAAGCTTCCTTTTATTGTTTCAAAATAAGGGAAGTGAAGCTCTTCCCTTCTGAGTGCAAGGCGTACCAGCGTGACGGCCGCAGGAACTTGCGAAGTGCCAGTGACGCGAGTGACACATAATTAGCGTCCTGAAATTGCATCGAAAATTGTGCAACTAGTGACTTTGTTTCTGTTTCTTTTTAGAGCGTGTAAATGGAAAAATGGCCGCTGCGCAAAACCTGTATTTGTGTTTTGGTTTGATGGCGATAACCAATCAGCCATTCGAGCTGGACATGTGAAATGTGATATGAGAATCATAGAAATATCTACAAATTCTGTGTGCAGTATTGTTTTATGAGTTTATAGTTACAAATGTGACGGCGATGCAGACTTCTGAGGTTAAGTCCAACATGTTTAACACAGACAAAGTTTGTACTTAAGTAGTAAGTTCTTTCATAGAAAAAATAATAGTACTGATAATCTGCAGTTGCAAGTTGCAACAATTAGACAGCACTAGGATTCCAGCCCACAGCCATCTGCAAGGGAATTCAGCCAGTGCTTGAGGTGGAATGAAAATAGAACCGGGATGTTTTTCCCCTTTTAATTCATAGGCATTTACTGCCAAAGAAGTAACGGGATGCTTTTAAGCCATTTAGAAAAGAACCGGGATACCATCCCGCCCCACCTCAAGCCCTGTTTATAGTCAAGATTCACATAAATGCCCAGCCAGCCAACTACAGTCTTTCTGGACACAAAACTTTTCTCAGCATTCTATGAATATTCTCTGCCAGCTTTCAGTATCAAAGATATATATTACTGTATGTTGTTCCTGAAGGTTCTATCTTATAGGATATAATACTGTGTAGTCTCTTGAAAGTCAACCAGCATTTCAGAGAAACAGAACACAATCTTTCACAGTCAAAGGATAAGCCAAGCTGGAATCTTAAAAGTGGAAGTTTTCATAAGCAGTGCTCTGGAACCTCCTACAGTTATTAGACTTATTTGACAGTGAAGACCCTCGGGAGCGTCATGGGGCTACGTGCTTTCATACGCAAACAAATAAATAACATCTTCCTTAGGTTTGTATATGAGACAGAGCATTTTAATGGTGTTGGAGAGTTATTGGAAATATTAGGAAGCATTATCAACGGCTTTGCTCTACCGCTGAAGTCAGAACACAAGCGATTCCTCGTAAAGGTTCTGCTGCCACTGCACAAAGTTAAATGTCTGTCATTGTACCATGCACAGCTGACATACTGTGTGGTTCAGTTCCTTGAAAAGGATGCCACGCTAACTGAAACTGTTGTTAAAGGGCTACTCAAGTTCTGGCCTAAAACGTGCAGTCAGAAAGAGGTCATGTTCCTTCGTGAGATTGGAGAACTTTTAGATGTAATTGAACCATCACAGTTTGCCAAAATTCAGGAACCGTTGTTCAAACAAATTTCAAGATGTGTCTCTAGTCCTCACTTTCAGGTGGCCTGTTGTGCACTGTACTTATGGAGTAATGAGTACATAATGAGCCTGACTGAGGAAAACAGCCATGTGATCATGCCAATAATGTTCCCAGCTCTGTACCGCATCAGCAGAGGGCACTGGAACCAAACAATTGTGGCTCTTGTATACAACGTGCTCGAAACCTTCATGGAGATGAACGGTAAGCTTTTTGATGAGCTCACAGCTAAGGCTGAGAGACAAAATGTGTGACTAGCAGTGTACTGTGAGGCCAGAGAGAAGAAAGTTCTTGTGTGCAGAGTGGGCAGTGTGCGCCGACAGAAGACAGTGGTTGAACTGGACAGAGAGACGGACACTTCTACATTCAGATAGTGATAAGGTGACGTCGGACGGACATCCCCTCGAGGTCTTATTCATGACATTTTTGGTGCCGAAACCCAGGAAGTGGGATACATATGATACAACTCGACATGGCGGACGCCGAACTCGGAAGACTAACGAGGAAGCGCCCCGCAGTAAGGGCAAAAGTGACAAAGTTCAGTACCTTTATAAGGAAATCCACTGCCAGCACCCCACTTCCAGCACCCCACTTGAGGATTATGAGTACTACCGAGACCGTTTACAGGAGACCCTGGATCAACTACTTTCATTGGACAGTGATATCCGGGATCTTCTAGAGGACAAGGAGTACACAACTGATGTGGAGGTGGCTGAAGAGTACATCGACTTAGCCAAGTGAGCACTGCTGAAGGCCAAGCGGGAGGTAGAGAACCGACTCGTCTCCACAGGAGAGAAGCCTAACTTTGATCATTCTGTTGTATTTACAATTCCCCAGCTTTTATCATATTTTTCATAGCAGTTTTTCACTTAGCGTTCTATGCTATTTATGTTTCCACTACAGACATTTTTGCTTGCATTAATGTATGCCTTCCACATGATGACCACGAGATGGTGGTTGAAACATGTAGTGAATAAGAAATAATTAAATGTTCTCTTTGTAATTACGAATTTGTGTTCAGACCGTTTATTTGTAACTTGTTTCCTTGGCTGCTTAATCTTAATAACTGTATGCAGATACTGTACCGTTTCTGTAGTCTGGATACTAATCTAACAGTTAATCTAGCAGCATAATCATGGTAGACAGCTAAGTCTGATTAGAGTCCTCACTGTACTGTGGCTCTCCCTGACCCTGGTGACAAAATTATTTTAACCAGTTTGTTGCAGTGTCATAATGCAGACATGCCTGTCAACACGCACAGCTTTCCAGATGATCATAATGGTGAGCACTGGATGCTGTAGCATATTCTATATTTATAGTCAGTGCTTGAGGTGGAATGAAAATAGAACCGGGATGGTTTTCCCCTTTTAATTCATAGGCATTTACTGCCAAAGAAGTAACGGGATGCTTTTAAGCCATTTAGAAAAGAACCGGGATACCATCCCGCGCATCCCGCCCCACCTCAAGCCCTGAATTCAGCACATTAGTCCATAAGCAAAACTGAACTTTGCTGTTGGGTTACATATTTACGTTAACGCAAGGTTTACGGGATGGAACTCTGCAATAGGAAAATTGGCTTTATGTGTTTTGAACGGAATTATTTGTTACGTGTACTAGTGTTATGTAGGTAGATGCGTTCCAGGTGGACCTGCCAAATGTGTGAAGTTCGTAGTTTCAAAATTCTAATTGGTAACATGCCGGGGGGTTAATTCTTGACAGTTTATGAAAGTGATAATACAATTTTTACGGTGAGCTATTTTTGGACATTTATGCAGTTCTGTTATAGCGTAGAGAATTCGAAGTAATGCTGTCAGTGGTTTATTAGGAGTAATGTTAAAGAGCTGCTGTCGCCTATAAGGTAGAAATGGAACGTTTTACAATCTTATGTAGTACTGCTGCAGTAGGAGCTCGCTGTATGTAACGGAATGAGAAATGGCGTTGCATTAAACAATTTAAGTAAAAAAAAAGTAAAGCTATCCCTGTAACTGGCCCTGGAGGCCCATAGGGTTGTGAGATGTTGAGGCTCCCACATTTTCTCTAGACAGTCGGCTCACAGATGGCGGTAAGGTTGTCACTCTTACGCACCGGCCGCGCTTTACTCCCCAGGAAACATTTTAAATTAATTCCTGGTACTCATTTCTGTTAGAGGCTGAGTGAATCCCAGGGCCATAGTGCGGCTCGAAGGATTAGGTAAATTGAAAAAAATCCAATGACCTCCTCGGGACTTGAACCCGCGACCTTCCGGCTTGTAGCATAGTGCCTGAACCAACTACGCTACCGCGTGCCCCCATTAAAGAATTTATCGGAGACTAATTAAATAGGACACTGTGTCTCATAATAGCGAAAATTACGGGAATTGTGACAATCATGCTCCCACGTGGAGCATAGGGCATCAGTGAAACGCTTCAGTTTCTTAGTCTTAGACAGTTGGTAGGACTCCATTGACGGGGCATCAGCCCGTCGCAAGGGGGGCAACAAGAACACAGAACGAATGCCTTGAGTGAGATTCTAACCCAGGAGCCCTGTGTCGGCCCGGCCGATGACATTCATCCCGTCAGGATAGTGACGTGCAGTGCATCGTTAAGTCGGACACGTGCTTATCCAGCAGACAAACTTGAAATGCGTACGTTTCGACATCGCACAGGACCGATTATGGAATATAATTAGATTTCACCTCCAAGCCGTTGTCTAATTACGTCCAACTTTTATTGAAACAAATCGGTAGGCTTCTGAACTTCTGCATGCAGATGCGAATGCCATCGACCCGCCGCCGGAGGTCATGTGAGCAGGGCCACTTCACGTGTCCATCACTTGGCACCAACCTGTCAACTGTAACAGTACACAGGCTTGTGTACATACTGCGTAGCGCGAGTTCTGCCACGTCTCAGACAGTACTCTTAAGAACGCTGCATCCAGTTTATGCAACGATAAGAACCAATCTCCAAATTTGCTTTGATAGACACGGACCGCACCGAAAACGAAAAAAGTAGGAGGAGACACAGGCAGCAAGGCGATTTCATAAGCCTCCTAACAAAAATTGAGGGGGATACACGGACAGACAGCAAGGTGATCCCATATGCCTCATGAGCCAAAAAAAAAAATGGGTGGATACACAGGCAGACAGCACGGTGATCTCATAAGCCTCCTCCTTTTTCTTTAAAATTATGGAAAGTAGACTAAAAATGCGGTGACTTCATGTACCATTTATGTCACAGTTTGTTTCTTTGTGTGTACTGTTAACAGAATACGAAGGAGTGGATACCTGAAGTGCTCTTTGTAACGATGCCTTGTGCGACACAATAAAATTACCATTTTTTCAGGAACCCTTCTGTCTTACTACATTGAAGGAGCCGGGGTAGCGTAGTCGGTATAGCGACTGGCTACGGGATGGGTGACCGAGGGGTCGGAGTTCGAGTCCCAGTAGGGTCAAGAATTTTCTCTTCTCCACGTCTTCCAGACCGGGTATGGGGCCCACCCAGCCTCCTATCCAATGGGTACCGGGGGCTCTTTCCCCAAGGGTAAAGAGGCCGGGGCGTGAAACTGATCACTCACCTCCAGATAGTGCCGAGGTCAAGAAAATGTGGATTTATACATCCACTCCCTCATACGCCTTCATGCCGCAGTGCTTAATTAGTTAAGCACAAGGACAACTTAATTTTTTACCTTGACTAGCTCAGCTTCTGTCACATTTTCAAGAGAGTTCCGCGTACATTCCTCCTCCTCCTTAGCATCATCACGACACTTCTTTCCATTATTAGCCTAGAATCGTTCCGCTATTTCGGAGGTCTTCCCGGACCTTTTTTCCCTTGGTTGTATGTTGAGGCCCCCAACACACTCAGTTCCGTACACAGTGCTAACTGCGCAGTTCGGTCTCGGCGTGTATTAAAAGCTCAAAGACCTTTAAACAGTTTACTATGAATGGTGGCCACTTCACTATAGTTGAAAATTGTGTCATGATGTCCACTCAGGAAATTATATGTTACGTCGCTATCACTACGCTTGTGGGAAGAAAGAGGAAATGCAGAGTCACTGCATCTTCGGCATTCACTTTGGTGACCAACACATCCTGAGCCTCTTATTTCTCGACTCGGTCGCTGTAATCTTTTGGTTTCACGTTCCAAACGCATTCTAGACTTTGATATAACTCAGCGAATTCCATAAGAAACGCTTTTGACCATTTAGCCATGGAAAATTTAAAACACTGACAAATTTAATGAGAAGAATACTGGCCAAAGTTTGTAACAACATAACAGAGGTCAAGAATACAACTGAGTTCATTCCGTGAGAAACTCCCTATACGGCGCAGTTAAAATATCAAAAGAAAGCAGAGTCCAATAAGTCCACAAATTTGAACTGATTTCTCCTCTCACGTTGAGTTTGAATTGGCAGTTTCGGACTGCACAGGTAGAACTGTGTGTAGATCTTCCCGAATCTTCGCGCTGTCAGCGTGTTCTCTCCGTTCCCAGAATTCTGTTGTTTGTGAAATCTCGCAAATGCCGTAATTACTTCTGCGGTTCAGAAGGGTGTATCCAGGTGTCCTCAAGCGCCGCGTTTTCCCTCATGTCAGTGTGCACTCTCTTAAGTTTACTGCTGCGTATGTTCCAGCGAGGGGCCCCTGGGCCCGTCACACTTCTCGGTGTGGCGCGCTAATCCATTCCGCTAAGGAGCAAATAAAAATATTGGGTTTGAAAAATTCCCAAATTATTTTTAGAGGGATATATACACGTCATTCATTTAAATTTAATACCAAAACTACTGTTATATATTTTGGAACGAATGCTTTGTTGGCAGGTGCTCACGATGTTTGATGTACCGATATTGCGATAAGATGAAAACTGCTGGCCTGTGTAAACAGTTCTTGATTTTGTGTTTGTGAACTCGATCCCTTTTGGCTGCTAGAACTGTTTTTCTTTTCCTAGCTTGAAGTGAGATAACTACTGTCGGGATGTTAGTCTTGGGGGAATTGCACGCTTTCGAACTGGCGTGATTTGATTTAGAAGTAGGTTTTGCATTGCTGACTGATGCCTGGAGATCAGACAGAGTGGTTGTGCAGTGGTGTTCATCAATGTGAAAACGGTATTAGCGGAGTTTCTAGTTTAGTAGACGAGAATGTCTGTGTGGTATCACATAGTACATAAAGAAAACAGCGAGGGCAATTAGGAAGATTGTATGAAAGTGATTTGGCAGTTTCGCTTGCGCATGTGGTTGTTAGTAAAATATATTTCAGTTCACTAGTGTTAGGCACAAACAATACTGAATATTTAAAAAATGGGACATTTCCCTTTTCCTCTAAAAACCTCGACATTTTTTAAAAACAGGACCCGATAAAAATTATTAAAAACCATGTGCAAAGCAAACTTTCGCGTTGCATAACGTGCAGTCATTATTCTCATTCACAGCTTTAACAAACGGACATTCGCTCTTAATACTGTCATTAATGCTGCACGTGCGCGGAGCCATCACTGCATGGATGTGAACCGATAAATTCTCACAGGCTCTCACAACACAACGTAACGGTCG